GACAGTTTTCCTTCTGGCATTTCCTAATGTTTGAGTATTTGCAGCCTCAGCATTCTTTTTGGCAGTTTTCCAGAGCAGTATCTATTAGCCCAGATGCTGCACTTGGAATGTCAGCTGTGGACAAAACAGAAAATTGGAGCTAAGATTTGTTCAGATGAATTTGCCAGGGACAGAGGTTTAGAGACAGCCTAGGACCAACTCGTTCTTTCCTGGAGGACAGTGTGGTTATTGCAAATATATTTGATATATATTGCAACTGATTCCTGAGCACTGGAAGAAATTTCTGGAATCCAACCCAGATTAGTTACTGTGTAAGGAAGGATTTTTTTCTCCAGGGAAGTGTTCTTGCCCTTGTCAACAGTGATTGACATAGGTGCCTTGAATGCTACTGAAGAACTTGGATGAGTTGAATAAAATGTGAAAAAAACTTTCAAAACATGCCTGATGTCCTTTCTGCCAGCTGGTCAGTGACACCAGTGGATTATGCAAGTGGAGTTGTGAGGCTAAGTTGAGGTTTTTTTAGACAGCAAATCTTGAGACAGAATGACAGCCTGCAGGGACATTTCTGCTGTGAGAGGAGCAACAGCCTCAGAGAAAGCACAGGCAAGACAGTGGGGGTGTGGTGGAAACAGCAATTAAGATCAGTAATTGCCTTCTTGTGTTTTTTCTGCAGGGCTATGTATATTTTTGGGCAAGCAGTCAGCACATATGGAGTTCTTTGTCTTCTGCAGCCTTTTGCAGGTGTTTAGATTCTCCCTGTCTGATGGAATTAAAGGCACTCCTTCAGGGAGCACTGCATAGCCCCATCCCTATAAGGTCTGCTGTTCTTCATAAGGCAGCTTGGTACCAACATCCCAAACAGCCTATTCCACCAGATTCCATTCTAGAAATCTTCTAAGAACTGCTCCTCTTTGTAGGGATTTTTTTTTGTGTTGAGGAGGTCTTTGTATGTGCTGCTTCAGGTGCTGTGAATTAAAAATAAAGCAAAGAATTACAGGGTCTGGAATTAATTCTGCTGAGAAGAACTCCTGCTACTGAGATGAGGCAGAAACTAATTCATAAAGCCTTATGGGGGACAAGAATTCAGCCTCAAAATGTAGTTTAATGTGAGGTCTGTTACACTTTTTGCCAATAGCACTAGTTATGTTTGATTCTTCACTGTGCTCTTTGCAGTTCATCTGTATTGTTTACTGTGAGAATTCAAATTACAACCCTTCATTGCTCTTGGTTCCCAAGTCTGCATCTCCACCCACTGTTGTACAAGGCTACTGGTTGCTTACTTTTACCTCTGCCGCAAGAAGGCTACCTGATGAGTATTGCTGCCCTCATCTGACAGCTTACAGCTTTGTACCTTAGTTCTTGGCATGCATGTAGTCAGTATTTTGAGTGACACGTTCCTCAAAATGATTGCTCAAGAGGATGTTTCTGGCTGAGGTTCCCACCTTCTCTGACCCAGCCTCTGCTGGATCTTAAAATAATGGTATAAATTAGCATATTGCAGCACAGTGATGTATTAAATAACACTCAAGAATGGAAATAATCCTCATTCTCTTGGATCAGGAAGAGTGGTAGGAAAGAAGGGAGGTGAAAATTCAGAAATCTTCAATGTGACAGGGAAGAGTTCAAAAGAACAATTTCAACAGACGTATTTGTAGCAATTTTATAATACGAGTTTGGAAGTGTGAAATGATGATAAGTGTAATTTTCATATCCCTGGTTTTGTTTCTTCTGAGTGCACAGTTCCTGAATTTGCAATGGAAGAGTCGTGGATTTCCTCCTGGACCAATCCCATTTCCCATCATTGGAAGTGTCTGGTGGATAAACTTTAGAGCTGATCACAGGAGCCTGAAAAAGGTATGTATTTGCAGATGTGAACTAAAGAGCTATTGAGGCAAAACCTGGAAAAAATGGTGGTGGTTGTTGTCAGGCTGATGTAGTAACAGGGAGAACCCTGAGAGAAGGTGATTTGTGGAAGTGAAGTGCCTAAACAAGTTAAGGTAAAAATCCTGCAGACAGTCTAATTCATGTAAAAGCCTAATAATTTCACGTGAAAGACTCATTCATATATGTGTGCAACTTAAACAGAACTGAATATAGTAATTTTGCCACAGAAAATACTTCTATTTTTAAGGGAATCTTTGGCCTTGAAAGAAAACAATTATTCTCAGATTTCCCATCATAGGCATATATTGAAAATAATTTTAAACTAGGTGTCTTGAATTCAGAGGTGTCTTGAACCAGAATATCTTCTGCTCTCATGGAATGGAAAGAAGATTGTATCCCATATGCAGCCAAATCCTTTCATCCATTGTTTCTCTGAAGTCCATTCTGGGATGTACTCTTTGCAGATAAACTAAAGATGTAAATAATGGTGAAAGGAAATAATTGATGGGAAGAATGAGTTCCATGCTAAGCCTGCTAATACAGATTCTTTCAGTTTTCAACATCCTCCACTGAGCCAAAATATCACAAGAGAACCCAATGTGTTAATATATTTTTCAAATTGCTGCCTTTCCTTAAGTGCTAAGTGCAACTTGCAGGTCAGAGGGTACCTGGCTGCAGCTGAAGGGAGCTTAATGAGCATGATGCTAAAATTTTCTGATGGGTACATGTTAATGACTACGAGAGGACAGATCTGCACTGGTTCTTGGTCAAGCATCAGGGACTTTGTCCTTGCAGAATACCCATGGCATTGCCTGAGAGCAGTCACCATCAGTACCCAGAGATGGCATCTATGCTTAGATGCCTCAGTTGATAGTATTTCAGTATAAGATGGGAAGAGTTCTTGCCATTGAAATGTGAAATCTGCAGTACTTAGAACTCTAGAAGGGGAGTTCTGGAATTCATAATTTCAAGAAATTCTGGATGTTGTCTGAGTCAATGAAATACGGAGTTGAAAAATGTAACCAAGAATGGGCGGGTGGAATTTCATAGGAAACCTTGTACAGATCCATAAACATTCAAGGGCATTTACCCTTTGGTTGGTATTGCAAGAGTAACCCAGGCCAAATTCTAGAAAAGGACCATTTATTCTTTCATTGCTTACATTTCTGTGGGTGTTGTGTTCCCAGAGAGAGCCCAGACCCTTCTTGTGGAAAGTACCCCCACCACAAAACAGCCACTGTCCCTTTTCACCCGCTGAACCCCTGAGCAACGTTGTGCTGAAGACAGCAGCCCATTGTGTGTGCATGTTCTTTGATGTTTCTCCCATGGGGTTTTTTTGGGCACTGATCTTACCTGCAGCTGGCAAAAACCTATGGCAACATCTGCACCCTGTGGTTGGGTCACAGACCTATGGTGGTGCTCTATGGGTTCCAAGCTGTGAAGAATGGTCTCACCAACAACTCGGAGGATGTTTCGGGGCGACTGCAGACCTACACTTTCAACCAAATGGCAGGTGGAAAGGGTAAGATGTTCATGTCTCTGGAAGGACTTCACCCTTGACTGTCTTTGTTTCCTCTTGTGTTTTTCTTACTGAAAAACCCTTAGTTCCCAACTGACTTCTTCTGTCTGCTCAAGGTGAATCATATTATCCTGAAGCATCATCCTAAGTGGTCTCCAAATCCCACTGTCATACATGTATTTCAGAATCTTATCAGAGCAGCATGGGCAACATTCTTAGTGTTGTCTGCATGCCCTGATTTGAAATAATCCTGAGCCTGCAGCCTCCTTTGCAAGCTGAGACTAAAGTAAATCTTTATGCTCCCAGTTGTTTGTTTACAGCAAAGGCTGCTGTAAGGAAAGCATATACGGAACTTTGATCAAGTCTTGCTCCGAAGTACAAAGTCACAGGAAGGTCAGTGGAGCTTTAAATTTATTAGCCAGAGTGTTGAAAGTGTTGTATTGTCTTATCACAAACACTGCTGAATCACAGTGGAGAGAGAATAAGGATACTGATATGTTTAAAACAGAAATAATTGAACTTGTTTCCATCAGCCTTTTATCCAGAGAATGTACAGCAGATACCTTTACCCTCAGCCAGGATTTGTTTAATGTGAACTACTGTCTGGAAAGCTTTAATTTGTAATACTAGCCAGTGTAAGTAGCGAAACACTACTTTAAAGTATAGAGATTTTTAAGTCTGGGGCAATTTCAGTCCATTTGGAAGGATCTGTATTGCCACTTTTTATCGGGGTGCTGTGGAGAAAAGTAGCTGGGTTGTGACACATGCCCTAAAACTCTTAATTTGTAGCAGGGATGCCTTTAACCAACAGCTGCAGCTCAGCTGCAAGTTTGTGACTGCAGCACAGATACCACCTGCCTGTCCCTGGTTCCCAGGACAGCAGAAGGAATAGGGGAGAGCTGTCCCAGTCTCTAATGAAGCAGCTGTCTCAGGGAGCAAGCTGGCTTTCCCAGGGGGAAGTGCAGGCTAGACTTGTGAAGGGAATTTCCCCACCAAGCAGATTAAATGGTTCATGCTGGGTGGTCTCTGCTAGAACACAGACTCACAGCAGAGCAGCCTGGGATTCCTTTCTGTCCCACAGAAACTCTTGCTCTTAAGAAGCTGTTTGCAGATTGGCTAAAGCCTATTTTTCCTTCTCATTTTGGCTGGGTGGTTCTTGCCCTGGCTTCATTGTCTTTCCAGAAGGGACCTTTCCAGGATGAGAACTCAATATTTGGTATAAAGATCCTGGTAGAACAGGATCCCTCAAAGACCTGAGACAGATGCTTCAGAAAGAATAGGACTAGGTTTGGAAGGCAGGTGTGTGAGTCCAGAGGTCCAAGAGGTTTTTTTTTTTGCAGGGATGGTAATGTCTTAACCAAGGTGTTTTCTCAGCCTCTAACAACATTCAATTCAAAGAACACTGCCCTGATGTGTCCCCCCTCTCTGAGCAACAGCATGATGAGAAGATGACTCTGTGTTTATCATCTACAATTGTATGAACTTTATTATGACATAAAACTAATTCTTGATGGTTAAAGGTATCTTGGTCTCAAATGGTCTCATCTGGAAACAACAGAGACATTTTGGAATTGTAACTCTCCGAAAACTGGGAATGGGGAATAAAGGAATGGAGCGCGGGATACAAACCGAGGCCCGTTACCTGGTGGAGTTCTTCAGAGACAAGGAGGGTATGGCATTGACACAGTGCTTGGGGGCACACACAGTACAGACTGCTTGACTCTAAGGGTTAACACTACTTTAGTTACTCAATAGAATAGATTTGGAAGCACACCTTAGATTTGCAGATTTAGGATAAGGTGCTAAAGGACTGCAGACCACACATTCCATGGCATTTGCTAACAGACTGGAAAAAGAAACGTGAAGGAAACAGCAGAGACATCTCTGAACCCAAAATACAGAAATTTCTTTGCTTATTTCTTGACAAAACCCCCTCTGAACCCTTGAGATTATTTGACCTCAGCAGTTTGTATTTTGGGAGCAACACCAAGATTGAGATTAAAAAACAAAGCAAAGCAGAAAGCAAATTAAAAAAACAAGGAGTTAAAGATTTGAGGCTTTCCTGTCCTCATTTTGGAGTGAGGTTTATCTTTTGTTACAATTTCCTAGTGAGTTTTGGGTGTTTCTGAGTAACAGTATAAATATCATAGAGGACATCTATTACAAAATGTCACTGTAATCTTGTTCTCCCAAATGGCAAAGGATGAGAAGGAAGTGCTTTGGAGATGAATGTTTTTCTCTGTCTGCAGGAGAAGCTGTGGACCCTTCCTTCCCCATTGTCCATGCTGTCTCCAATGTGATTTGTGCTGTGGTTTTCGGACATCGTTTCTCCCTGGAGGATAAAACCTTCCACCAGCTGATTGAAGCCTTCGATTATATAGTGGCTTTTGGGAACAGCCACTTTCATTATGTGAGAATATTACTAATGAGATTATATATTACTTATTAGAATATTACTAACATGCAACAACTTATTTGATCATTGGGCTCATTATTTATTGCAATATAATTATACCAGTATGTATATTATTGAAGTATTGCATTATTGAATACTGATAAATATTCTGACTGTGAATATGATCTGGACCTGCAATGCTTTGGGTTTGACATTATTCAGTTATGAATATTGATACATCTATCTGCAAAAGTAGATTATTTGTTGGTGAATTAACAGGGCAAATACAAATGGAGTTATCTAGTAAAGATGGGAAAAAATCTAGGGTGGAAACTGTGCTGTCCCTAATTTGTGATTTTAATGTGTGTTTATGTACTAAACATTTCTTTTGATGCCACAGAATTTTTTTCAGAGCAATTAATTCAGCAGTTTAGCACCAAAAATGTCCACGCTCTATCTCTGTCACGAGGCTTCTCTACAGTGTCACTAACTGCTTCTGTGCTGAATTCTTGCTCTCCAGATGTGTGAAGTGTTACCGTGGTTTGTAGAGCACCTCCCAGGACCTCTACATAAAGCAAGATTTTCCCGGGATTTTATTCGTTCCTTTGTAAGGCAGGAAATCAAAAGCCACAGGGAAAAAGGCAGAATAGATGAACCAGAAGATTTCATTGACTTTTACCTGAAGCAGATAGAGAAAGTGAGTGATTATTGCTGTGTGCATTGTCCATGACACAGACCCAACCATAATAGGTTCCCTGCCGTTGTCTGCCCACAACAACATTACTACAGAGCTCTGCAAGAACAGCTTAAAAACTCTGCTGTCAAACTCAAAATATGAACTTTGAATAGTTAGTTCAAGAACTTCTAGAAGAAGTACAAATTATTTACATTGGTTTGTTATCATATTTTGGAATTCTTAGTGAGGGCTAGGCAGTAGGGATTACCTTGAAAAGGTGCAGGTATTTAGGTGGCTGCTGAATTCTGATTCTTGCTTTGTACTATTTTTGTGCTTAGTAGTGCTGTATGAGTATCATGACAATCTTAAAATGTTGTCAGTCTGTGCTCTGAAAAAAAGCATAAATCTTTAAAAGGATAACATTATATATTAGACAGATTCCTGAAATCAGCAAATGTGCTGGAAGTGGTATGGATGGGATAAAACTACCTAGAAATGTGTTTTTCTGCTGTGGAAGTTAACAGAAATCAACATGCCACTTTACAAGGTAGCATAACAGGACTTATACACCTGACACATTCAACAGCACCTGTAATTTAACAGTATCACTGTACTCATTCGAGTAAAGTCTTTGCCTATATCTGTGTTCTGCTCAAGTATCTGTGTTTTCTTTGTCCTCTTGAAATCTTGTTCCTTTAGATACAGTGATAATTGTCTCACTGCTATTACACAGCTATACTCCATTTTACCTTTCTCATTGACACTTGTAGACTAAAAATGTCCCCAATTCTACGTTTGATGAAGACAACATGATGCAATCTGTTTTTGACCTTTTCCTGGGTGGCTCAGAGACCACAGCCACCACTCTGCGCTGGGCTCTGCTCTATATGTTGGTTTACCCTGACATCCAAGGTGAGTAGCACAAAACAAGCATGGATATTATTAAAGTAGAGCAATTTTTTTTTTTTTGGCTAAGATCAAGTTTTTTTTTTTAAGATCAAGCTTACTTTAAAGATATTTTTTTAGCTTTGCTTTTAATAAGACAATATAGTAAACTTTTCAGACTGAGATTTTAAAATAATTTCAGGGATGTTCAGGCTCTGATACTGTATTGGGTCCTGTTGATTTTTGTCAGACTCTTTCAGCACTGTAAGCATATAATGGAAGATACAGGCTGAAAACACACAAGGTGGAATAAGAGTTTGGGTTAGGGCAAAGTGAAGCTTTTCTGGCATCCAGCATGTGTAATAAGGTTATATTATTTGAGTTCATTAATTGAGACATCAGTTAAATTTCTGTAAAACAGATATATTTATTCTAATGCATGGGAATGTTAAACAGAGAAAGAAGACAAAAAGATGATCCAGAAATTCTGGACAAGATCACAGTTGCGCACTAGTTTCAAAATTTTTGGGTGATTTGGTAGAGAGTTTTCAGAGGTGATGAATTACTAAGCCAAGTACATATTCTTGACTCTCAGGCTGAGGGCTAGAAATTCTTTTCATGCTTGTGGTGCTAGAATGCTTGAAGAACAGAGCCCTGTGCACACACATGCACTTCAAATTCTGATAAATTATAAAGAAAAAAATTCCTCTTAGCCTAAGTTTTAAGTATGAAATCTGACCCCATCTGAGACGGTATAAGGTGTGTTAGTTAGTAAGCTTAGATAGCAGCCCAAAGAGATTAATATTTGGTGATGGTAGATGGTATTTAGTAATATGATCCTATTTCAGTTCTCAGCATTGCACATGTGTCAGCTTGATGTGGTGGCTTGCTTGCAACACTGTCATTAGTGTGCTGAGTCTGTATTTGACTGGAGTAAAATCAACAGCTTAATTGAATTGATGACATAATAAGGTCTTGTTATACTTATAGTTTTCTCCACCTCTTTTAAATATAATGCTCCATAAATCTCTTGGGCTTGTGGAAAGAGGGTCTGAACATAAAACCTATCAACTAGAAAACAGAGTGTAGTAAAATCATAACTAGCTGGTTATGATTTATACAAATCATACATTTATACAAATGCATTTGTATAAAGGCATTTGTATAAATGTATGACTTGTATAAATTTATATTAATATAAATGCATTTCATATATACATTTATACAAATGCATTTAACTTTCAGGATATGGTAAGTATAAATTATTTGTATATCGTTATTGTTTCTATCACGACTATACTCCAAAAAGGAAATGAAAGCTGTTTCATCCAAAACAGTGTTCTTACTTCTATAATGGATATTTTAATTTTTTTAGACAAAGTCCAGAAGGAGCTGGATGCTGTTCTGAGTCCCTCCCATCTCATCTGCTACGAGGACCGGAAGAAGCTGCCATACACAAATGCTGTGGTTCATGAGGTCCTCCGCTTCAGCAGCATTGTTTTAATCACAATTCCCAGAGAAGCTGTGAAGGATACCACTGTTCTGGGGTATCATGTTCCAAAGGTACAGATATCCCTTCTATTCTAACGTGATCTTTGGCCACCAGTAAAGGTTTACCATTAAACCCTTTCCCCTCCAGTTCAGGACAGGAAGATCATTTCACTAGATTTAGGATATGGTGCTAAAGAACTGCAGACCATACATTCTATGGCATTTGCCAACAGACTGGAAAAAAAGACATGAAGCAATACAGGGAAATCCCTGAACCCAAAGTACTTGAAGTTTCTTTGCTTATTTATTTTTTGACAAAAACCCCTCAGAGCCCTTGAGATTATTGTTTTTCCCCTAATTATGTAATCTTTCATTTCTACTGCCTTTCTGTGCGCAGAATTATAGCTGGAATCTGTTTGTGTCCTTTTATTCTTTATGTGTGAGAGATAGAACTGTGCCAACTGCCTCTTCCTTCCTTTCAGGGCACTCTAATCATGGCAAATGTAGACTCAGCTCTTTTTGACCCTGACTATTGGGAAACACCTCACCAGTTCAACCCTGGCCATTTCTTGGACAAGGCTGGAAATTTTGTGACCCGAGAGGCCTTCTTGGCCTTCTCAGCAGGTGAGTGCACTGAGAGCTGAGCCCAGGCGTGTGGGTTAGATGAAGTTGTGTTATTTTCATTGTGGAGAAGGCCAGAGGAGAGTGTAACCCCAAACTGTAGGAGCACATTGTTTTCCCAGCCCAGAAAAATGTTTGACTGCAAAAATAAGTTGTTTGGAAATTGTATAAACACTTGATCTAGATTTTTGTGAAAATGCAATGAAGATAAAATGAGTAAGGGCCCAGAATTATCAATCACTTAGGAACTTGAATCCTTACACTGTTGCCCTTGGTCCTCTATATATGCCAGGTTATGCCATTACAGTGGATATTCTGTGGCAGGCTGCTGTGCTGGAGCTGATTTATTTTGTATAAATATTCATCAGTGCAGAGAGATGAGTGGGAGATCCAGAAGCTGGATCAAATACATCCAGAAGTCTATGTCTTTCCTGTGGAGTTTCTGGAATCACTCTTTCACCAGTGTGTGAGTTTATAGAAGCTTAAACAAACAAAAGCTCTTGGGGATCATGCCAGGAGGGAATAGCCTGGTTGTCAGAGCTGTCAGCTGAGATGGGAAAGTGTCAGGCTCAGGTTTCTGGTCTAAATTGGGCAGAAGAGGAATTGGTTTCTCACATCCAAATTGAATGACCTGACCACTGCATTTCAGAGTTTGTCACTGTCTCTGGGAATTGTATCCTGGACAGAGTTAATTAATAAATTGGGAAGAAATTTTTCTTTAACATGTTGTTTTTGCTGAAACCATTATGTAGGAAAATGTTTCATCAGGTGTAGAATGTCCTCTGTCTTCTGATTTTTCACTGTTATTAGGGAAGACAAGTCAGCCTTTACTAAGCAGAAGCCATGAGGGAACCTAAATATGCTTTCTTGTTTTTATTTGGAATCAAAGGATAGAAATCCCTTTCATAAAACTAGGAAGTCCTGTAGATTAAAAAAGCAAGAATGAAACTTCTGAGAAGCATTTCTGGTATCTTTTCTATAATCTGGGCAGATCCTGCAAAGATGAATTACAGAAATCTCAGTTGTAAGTCCAGTTCAATCTGAGAGGAAATTGTCAAATTCAGCAAAGCTCTTTGATCCTTGATGAGCCTGAGAAAAGCTGGGAAACAGGTGCTGGTTGCAGACCTTGGTGGGGACTGACTTCTCTTTCTGTTCACCCCTTGCAGGTCACCGTGTTTGTCCAGGAGAGACAATGGCCAAGATGGAGCTTTTCATCATGTTCTGCAGCCTGTTGCAGAAATTCAAGTTCACTGTACCAGAAGGAGTTAAGGAAATCAACACAGACATTATCTTTGGGAGCACCATGAAACCCCATCCATACAAGCTCTGTGCAGTTCTGCGCTAGGTTGCTCAGCATTAGAGATTTAAGAGGCACAGACACAGGTTTGGTAGTGTGCTGGTATTTGTGCAGCTTTATGGTTCTCATTTTTAGCTCAAATTCAGTGCAAATCTCTCCTTGTTGTGTTATATGTTTTAGAAGCCAGGCCTAAAAAATACTCTGTTTTTCCTGTGTCTGGAAAGTGTCTGTACTTCATTTTTTTTTCTGCTGTGTTACAAATGAAATAAATGTAGACAATTATTGCTCTGTCTAGTCTTACTAGAAACTCGACAGAATCTTCCTGGAGGGAGGAGGAGCATCAGAGCCAGGCTCTGAGCAGCCTTCCCCTACATTCTCAAATCCAGAATGGTCGTGGGAATGCTGTTCCCGGAGGTGGTGGCTCTGGGCATTGCCAGAGCTCCCAGGTGTGGTTGCATGGGAACTCAAAGCTGTGGAGGGGCATCTCAACTTGCTGGGAGCAGCTTTGTCTATTTAGCCAAGAGCCACGGGCAGATGAGTGCTTGAGACTGGAAGTAAAAGAGAGACAACAGTGCAACTGTTCATTTGGCTGTGAGGCTTGTGACTTAGGCCAAGAGCAAAGGCAAAGCCCTCCTATTGCCTGCTGGAAATTGCAGAGGGAAGCCCCACTGCTGGTGGAATGCAGTGGGCTGGCCTGAAAATATATTTTTTTTGACATATACTCTTGTGCATTTGAGAGGCATTTTGTGAAGGTGGGAGTCCTCTCACGTGCCAGGGTTTATAATGACAATGATGTACAGCAGATTAGGTTGGCCATGTCTCTTCATTGATGCCCAAAGCACAGTTCAGGGGGCAGCTTGCAGTCTTTGCAGTCTTGAGCAGCAAAGCTTGTTGCCTGCAAAGGAGGGGCAGGGCAGCAGATATTGATGTGGTGTTCTCCAAAAGCTGTGGGAGAATCAAAGCTCTTGAGAGTTTTCTGTAAGCAGAGAGGCAGCTGCACACAAGCAGCCTTCTGACAGCTGAGCTGAGCCTGCTGAGTCCCAATGCGTGCTGAGGGAAGAACTGTGCAAGGTGCAGCTGGCAGGAGCAGTGCCCAAGCAGGGCTAGTGGATGGTGAGCGTCAGTAGCCCCTCTCACTGTGAGACTGGCCTTGTTACCCACCCAATAAGACTTAAAATCCAAGGTCAGAGTGAGGATTACTGTTGCTGTACCAGCTTCCTTTCTTGAATAAAAGACTTTACAATTGCTATCACAAGCATGCTTCAAGGACTAGTTGGCATTGCCCTGGTAATCCATTGTGTCATGGGCTGAAAGGAAGGGGGAGAAGAGAATGGGCCAGCAGCTCTCCTGGAAAAAGTGAGAGCAGGAGGATTCACTTGTTAGAGGGATACCTTTCTGTTCTTCTGAGCTGTCAGGCAGCTAACCCCTGCTTCCCCAAGCATTCAATTCTCTTCATGGAAGCTGTAGCAAGTACAGCTTACAAAACCTTATCAGGCTTCTCTCTTCCCAGTCTTCCAGCACCATCTTGTGTGAGGAGAAAAGCAATCTGTATTCCCTTCACATCTCTCCCAAAGACTTGGCAAAGCTGTTTGGCAGCTGCCTTCCATATGCAGGCAGTTCATGTCTAGGCTGAGATGCAGTCACCAGAATGTGGCTAATGTTTGTGGAAAGTCAGAGTGAGCCTGGAGAGCCAGGGGAGATGCAGAGCAGCCAGCCAGGATTATGCAGAGGCCAGACTGGGGCTGCAAGTGGGCAGGGCAGGAAAGCCTTGGGGCTGTGAGACTCCTCCCAGGAACACCTTGGAAAATACTAAACTCAGAGTTGGGAGCAGTTTGAGATAGAGAAAATGCAATACCAATGAAGGAACTAAAAGTCTCAAAAGTGGTCTCAAAATGGGTAATTCAGTTTTTCAGGTTGACCCTAGCTCTCAGTTAGATTGGTGGCCAGCAAGATGGGTAAATATTATTTTTCTGCCCTGTTTCTGGAGTAAACCAATGTCCTTCACACCTCAAAACTTTTATTTCTAGCTGTGCCAGTTCTGTAAGTTTGGTACGTGAGCAGCAGGGCCATCTAGGTGACTTCCCAGAGTGCTACATGCTGCTGTCTAAGTCAGAGCCAAGTCTAAGCTAATGCTGTTCCTGTGCAAGTGCCAAATCTGTGTTGATCATGTTCAAATGCCACCCTTTGCAGAGCTGGAGTTGCTCAGTTGCATGAGAGCACTTGTGAAAGAAGTTCTCAGAAGCAGCTGTATGTCATCTTTGTTCCTGCTGCAGCCAATCCACAGCGATTAGCCACAGGCAGGTGGAGGGATGAAGAAATTTTGCTTTGTGCTTGGTCAAGGAGACATCAGCCCCACTCCCCTGTGCAGCTTGGCAGGGTGTGGGAGGACACTTGGGTATTATGTCATTATTAGCAACAAACTCCTGTTACCCAATGATCAGTTGGAGTCTCTTATGGTCTGTGTGTGTCCTAGGCACAAAATTAAAAGGTAGAGCCACCCCCCAAACACTTTTCAATATAAACTGTGAGGAAAAATATTAAAGGAATAGCAGAGAACATGAGAATCAACAATGTGGGGTGAGTTAAGTAGCAGAGCACATGGTTGGTGCATATGAGGGCTACTGATAAGCCTGAACTTTTCAGTAACCCCACTGCCCTTGGGTGTGCAGCCAACCCTCAGGAAATTTTTTTATCTCTCATTCTTGCAAGAGGTTTTTTATGAAACCAGGACCGTGGGCAGAGATTTTTGTCAAAGCAGGAGTCATGGCACAAGGAGGTGTATAATTAACCTACATTTTGTGTCCCTTGAAGAGGCAATCTGTCCCTTGACAGATGTGTGGCTGCAACATAATGATATTATGTATGCTTAGAAATAGGAACACTTAATTCTCCAGGGTGGGGAAGTAAAAGTGATAAAGAGGGAAAGAGATGAGTCATAGGAGCGTCAAGTGTTTTTTCTCTTTTCAGGGAGGTACCCCAAAAGCAAGATAAACTGATCTCTCCTCTGTCTACACAGCAGTTGTTGAGAGACAACGCAGCTGTGTAAATCAGAAGTAAAATGTTAACAGTGAGTGAGGTGCTGGTATTTTTTGTGCTGTCTCTGCTATTAATAGAGTTTCTGAAATTGCAATGGACGCGAAGACATCTTCCTCCTGGGCCAACTCCATATCCCTTCTTTGGAAATCTGCTGCAGATGAATTTCAAAATTCATCATGAGCATCTTAAAAAAGTATGTATTTTCTGGCAATGTACTAATGGACTCATAAACTGATTGAAAAGTAGCTGTGTTGAACATAGTTTTGTTTTGAATGCTAGGGAGGGATTTTTTCTAAATTGCATAAATGTGGAAATAGGTGGAGATAATTAAAATATCTGTTTCTTTGTGTGAAAATTTGCACTTACTATGATATATATATATATATATATATATATATATATATCCTTATGTGCATATGAACAAAACCATAATGATGATAATAATCCTGTCTTACACATAGGAAGAAGCTGTATTTTAAAGTAGACTCACTAATTCTGTGCTGTCTTTTGGATGTCTGTGTTTTGACTCTTGTGGCACAGGCATTTTCTAAGTATCCCATGAAATAGCTGCTGAGGTTATGTTTGTTTCCAGTACAGAAAGGATGATTTTTTTATATATATTTATTCAATGGATTTTTTTGAAAAATCTTAGAATCAATTATTTTCTGACATACGATTTGGTCAGATTTTCACAAGAGATTTCAGTCTGCTTTGCAAGACTGAGCTTTTAAATGGCTAAAATAATTCATAGTATGCTCAAACACTTTTTTATGTCCAATTGAAATATGCAGCACTTCTAAAGTTTGTATCCTGTTGTTTTAGAGTTCTTATACATCTATACTAAATATTTAACATTTAAATATGTTAGTAATAGCACCTCACTCTTCCTCTTCATTCTCAGCCTTCCCTTTCCCTCGTTTTCCATGTCCTGCCAGCTCCGTCCTCCTGAGCTGCATATTTCAAGGCAAAGTGTTATTATTCCATAATATAAAGTAGTAACTAGTGCCTGTGTCTGCTGTGTTTTCTTCTATTTCTGACATCCCAGACACGAAGACCAGTACTGGTCATCCCAAGGTTTCAAAAGCCATGAATTGGTCCTTACAAAAATGAAATTAAACACAAATGTGCAAGTACAAGCACATACATTTTTGCTCACTGTGCATAAGTATTCCCTCTTGTTTGCTCCCAGGCAGAAAAATTGTGTAATCCTCTGGTCCTGCATTTCTTGGGATGTCTTGGCAACACACCACTCTTTCCAGCCTATTCTGCTACTTTTCTAGTTCCTGATTCAGCACCAGGGGAAGGACTGTCCTGCCCACTGTGGGGATGCCTGCGTGCACAGCAGCTGAAGACAAGGCTGTCACTGCTGAGCTGGAAGGGAAAGGGTGATTCCTGAGTTTCTCAGCTCCTCGACTGCTTTTGCTACACTTAACACACAAAGGGGAATCTGTAGATGGTTCACATCAAATTCATGAGCTACTGCTGTCTTGTAGCAAGTGGTGAGGATGGAAGAGTTCATCTACAATGAGTTTGAATTGTAAGACATAATAAATGACATCACAGACTTTGGCAATATTGGTTGACATTTTAGAAACATCATGATCTTTAATAAATAAGACTTTAGATAGAAACCTGACTTCAGACTATATTGTATGTGAGAATATACCTGATGCTCTGTTCTCAAAGTCAGTCACTCTTAGGGCATCTGCCCAGGGAGAAGATCTGGTTCATTTTGTTTGATTTAAAAGTACTGGTTCTCACTCCTGTTACTCTAATTCTGCCTTGTTCTACAGATGGCCAAAATTCATGGCAATATCTTCACCTTATGGCTTTCAAACACTCCTGCAGTTGTCTTGCAAGGGTTTCAGGCAGTGAAGGAAGGTCTGACTGCCCATGCTGAAGATGTTGCTGGAAGGCCCGAAAAAAGAATCTTTCAATTTCTAACACATGGAAATGGTAATTTTTATTCTTAGAAATTCTTTTAATGTGTTGTGTTTTATCCCTAGTTTTGAATACTGATTTAGAGCCTCAAAGTCCCTAATTTACATCAGGAAAAAGCTTCTATTTTCACAAGTTTTTTAAAACAATTCTATTCTGTATTCTGTCAGAACAATAATGACAGCATGGAATTAATGTAAGAGCTTCTATGCAGAAGATGAATGGCTAAAATACAAAAAGAAAGAAAAGAGGAATGTTGCCAGACTGCTGTAAAAATTTTGAAAAAAATTAGAAGAAAAGAGAAGCTTCTTGGATGTATCAACCTTACCAAACCATCAATTTATAAAGCATTGACAGCATTAGTTCATTATGATTCTAGGTGTTTTGTTCTCTAATGGTCATGTCTGGAAGCAACAGAGGCGTTTTGGAATGGCAACAATGAGGAAGATGGGATTAGGGAAAAAAGAGGATTATCTACTGCAAGAGGAGGCTGCTCACTTGGTGGAATACTTACAGAAAACAAATGGTACGTGAGGAGGGCAGGGCAGTCTGTGCAGTGGGAGAATGGGGCACTGTAACTTCTGAAACTATTTGATTACAAAAATGGATTCAAAGTGTATGTGCAGAGCTGAGTCTCAAAAGTCTGTATATGCTACCTGCATGAGATACTTAATTGTGGAATTGTGAAACCCCACAGCAAGATCACAGAATTAGATTCCTGTCTTGTTATAGATATATGTCTAGTTATATCTTTATAATATACCAGTGTGTTTGTGTATACACACACACACACACACACACACACACACACACTTGTCCCTATCAGTGTTATTACTTCTGAGTCAGTTCCATGTTACTTGAGGCAACAGCATCAGGGTAACAACAAACAGTAAAAAAATCAGTGTCACAGTGCCTCCTATTCCTCTGTAGAAAAGAAAAAGCATAAAATATGCAAAGCTTCGAACAAGGATGCACAGGGTATGTTGAAATATTCTAATGCAAAATGATATGAGCAAAAATAGAAGGTAGTTCTCTTCTCAACTCATCTGTATATTTAATGTCTCAGCTGGTTTTGTACCCTGGTTATTGCCAAATGTGAGATCTGCTGATGCCAAGGTTTGATGATATCTGGGTATTTTTATAATTGATACTACTAATTCCATTCCCACTAGCAGTGGAATGGAATTTCCTTTTTTTAACCAACAGTGTTTTTCAGATGTCTGAAGTTACTTTTTTACTCAGGCCTTTTACCAATAAATTACAATTTGCCATTCAGTGATCTAATTAATGTCAGAAATGTTGATGAAATTTTATCAGCTCTCCTGTCAGTGGGCAAAGCAGGAACACTAAGTGTTAATGGTGAATGCAGTCCCTTGTGTTTACAGGAAAACCTCTGGACCCCAGTATGCCTGTTGTTCATATGGTCTCAAATGTCATGTGTTCAATCATGTTTGGACATCGTTTCTCCAGAGATGATGAGAATTTTCACCGCCTGATTGAGTCCTTTGACACCATGGCAGCATTTTTGAACAGCGTCTCCTTTTATGTGAGGAAAATCAGTTTCGTTTGTTTGTTTGTTTGCTCTCTATAGATAGACAGTGCGAAAAGGCAACTTGCTTGTTACAAAGGTAACAAAAAAAACCCCAAAAAAACCAGAGCACCTAGAATTTCTGGGGAGCACTTCAAGATGCCTAGTTCAAAACTTGCTTCAATTGCTTATGCTTCATCTTAGCACAGAATTTTCCTGTGTATGGAGGACAGGGATGAAAATGCAAAGATTTGTTACGTGGCTGAGAGATCTACAAAGGACTTTCTTTTTAAAAGTGCTACCTGCACAACTCCAAAGTTTGAAACTATATCTGAAATCAGTAGTAAAATATGGGTTAAATTGTCTGAAAAGCTCAGAAATAAGCTTATCTTAATTTCTGTCTGGCAAGCTAGCTTTCTTCACTCTATTATATGACATGGCTATCAAAAATATCAAGAATAAATAGGTTTTTACTGCTTCCTTCTCTACTGTCAGCCAACCTCATAGAAACAGAGCAACTGTTTTGTGCAAAGGTAACATGGCATGAAATTGCTTAATGGCAGCTTTTCCCTACAGTTTTTGACAGCAACACCTATACCACATCTGCACATCCTTACAAGAGTACAGTGACACTGCAAGTGTCACCTCCTTTAGCTGCTGGATGATATCTGTCTCCATTCAGGGCACAAACTCGCAACTTCACATCTGGTCCACTGGAGAGAAAAATTCTCTCTTGCTCTTGTATGTGCATCTGTGAGTGCAGCTGCCAAAGCAGCAGAACAGGTGGCCTCAGACTGGGGCAGTTTTGTTATGAATCATTTATGAGGGGGAACCACAGTACTGAGTATAGTCAAAAAGTGAATTTACCCATGCACGAGGCAGCTGCTTCTGCAGAACTTGTTGGAACTCATCCAGTTCTGTGTCTTGTATGATTTCCACCATCTCTGACTAACTGGAAACTGCTGTAAGTAAGGTCCTAGAGGATTTAAGGACTATTTTGATACTTTGGCTAGATAAGATAAAATAAAATTCCTTACTCGTAACTATCCCAGAAGATGCCAGTGAAATGATTCCTAAGCTACCCTTCTAATCAGGGTGGACACAAGTTCAGCTATTTCCAAAACGCTCTCAGTAGTATTTGTATGTTTTTTTAAAACAACTCTCTCTCTCTCTCTCTCTCTCTCTCTATATATATATGTAAATATAAAAATAAATAAATACATATAACTTTATACTATAAAGCTGAGAGAAATTTTAATTTTGCTCCAGGGAAAAATAGCATTAAGAAAGGCTTTAATCTTTAATGAATCATGGAATAGGCACTATCCCTTCAATCTAATGCTAATTCAATCATCAGTCTTTTACTTGCTTTTTCCACTCCCCAGAAGCCTGTATTAGGATTCAGATTTAGTTTGCTAAATGCCACACAGTTATATGTAATATCACATATCTAAAATATCTCTTTTACAGATGTATGAGTTGTCTCCCTGGCTTGCTGGTCACTTTCTGCCATCAGTTAAAAAGATGAAGTCCAGCAGAGATTTTGTGGAGGCTCTGTTACTAAAGGAACTTGAAAGTCACAAAGGAAAAAGAAAGCTTGATGAAAATCGACATTTTATTGATTACTATTTGGATGAGATAGATAAAGTGAGTACTTCTGAACTTCTCTCACACTTCACTAACAACAAGGGATTTTAAGCGTTTCGTTGATTATAATGATGTCTAATGTAAATTTAAAAGTGCATGATTTCTCCAGGTGGTTTATTTCTTCTTTTGTGTGCCATAACTTTCTTTTCAATTCGTATCTACAGACTAAAGGAGATGCTGGTGCAACTTACGATGAAGAAAACTTGATCCAGACTGTTGCTGACCTCTTTGTAGCAGGCATAGAAACTACAGCCACCACTTTACTGTGGGCATTGCTCTATATGGTGATTTATCCTGACATTCAAGGTAAGCACATCCAAAGAGGTCTGCAACTCTAGCAATGAAACGAGTTCAAATAGTGGTTGTGCCTGTTCAAAGTAGAGGAACTAATTATTGAAGTATGAATCAGGTGAATTGCATTAATTTGTTTCTTGCTGTATCCTTTCTAACATTCAGGCTAATCATTCCAGCTTAATTTTTTTTCTTCTAACAGATCTAAACAGAATGCAGGGTGTGATTAATTTAATCAGCTGAAGGAATTTAGTCTCAGATGAGATAAATTGCACCAATACCCCTCCACAGACAGTAATGATTAGATTTCCACTAAGAAGTCTTTGGGTCATTCTTTTAAATCCCTGACTCCTACTCTTTGATTTGCTCATGGCCTCTTGCAGTAGAAATAACTTAAATACAGTGTGGGGTTGCTAATATTGGGGTGAGTAGCTTGAAAATGTGTGCTTTTAATAATGATATTCACAGAAGAAAGTTACAGGTTGGAAGGGTAAAATGACTGAGAAAAGAGCTAGAGTGTATGGGATAGAAAGGATTAGAAGGTACAAAATTCACTTTAAAGGCCTCATATTTGACAGTTTAAGCTGAGTACCAGGCACAGCAGAAGCCTGGCAAATAGAAAATGTGGAAGTGTTAAGGAGAAAGGATGTCCCATTTTGTTACCTTCAAAAGACTTGAAACTGGGTTGCACATACTGAATTTTCACACGATTTTTCATCTTCTCAGGATATATTAACATATTCTTAAGTTTTGTGGGGGTTTAATTCTAATTGCAATGATAGAGTCTCTAGTATTAAAAAAAATAATCAGAAAATACCATTTCAGCTCAGTTTGTAAGCAAAAAAAAGAAGTCCTTGGGAAAAACTAATTTGTATAAGTGCTTCCCAAGGCAAGTAATTACAGAATAGCAGTTAGGAATCTGTAGATGACAAGCAAAATCTATGTGCTTCTTAATGAAGAACAATCCTTGATCAATTACTAAACTGTTCCCCTAACACATGATTAATATTTTTTTCCAGTTGACTCCCTGCCTGTAGAAATAAATATTAATAAAAGTCTTTTTATAAATTGCTTTAGAGCAGTAAATGTAACAGGAAGCCACATATTATTATAGAATGACCTCATCCACTATCTTATTTTAAAAGTATATATGCAACCTATAAACAAACTCTATGTCAAATTTTTTCAGGTCATCTGTATGGGAATTTGAAGGTATTATTTTTTTATAAAGTATCTTTTTCATCTAGTTGGATGCCATTCTGTCTGCAAAAGGCAACAGGAAAAATTATGACTATAGAGTTTATAGATTGTTTGCTGTATATTTAAAGCTGAATATTCCTCCTTAGAGAAAGTCCAGAAGGAGCTGGATGCTGTTGTGGGTTGTTCCCATGTGTTTTGCTATGAGGACAGGAAAAGGTTGCCCTACACAAATGCTGTAATTCACGAGATCCAGAGATACAGTAACATACTCTTAATTGCACTGCCCAGAATGAGTGTGAAGGACACAGAGCTGCTGGGATATCGCATTCCAAAGGTACAAATGTGCTGCATATTTGAATCAATTTGATCTTTGGTCCATTAGATCATTTTAGAAAGGGTTTTGAGGTTTTTCCTGACTCAGAGCATGAACTCTTCTTCTAGTGCCTCTAATGTTTGACTGTGCCTGTGGATGGCCTTTCTCAAGGCTTTGTCCTAGATATCAGTAGACTCTACAGTCACAGTTTTTATTGAAGCCACTGCTCCTTTTTTTTTCAGAACACAGTAGTTTTAGCAAATATTGACTCTGTTCTGGCTGATCCTGGAAAATGGGAGACACCTGATCAGTTCAACCCAGGCCACTTTCTGGATAAAGATGGAAACTTTGTAAACAGAGAAGCATTCTTACCATTTGCTATAGGTAAGTGCACTGAACAGGGATTTATTTACTCCTTGTGGTAACAACTTCAGATCCATTCATTCCTCAAAATAACTGGGAAGGCACCTACAAATGGGCATATACAAACTGTTTTAAATATCTCCAAGAAGAGACAAGTCCAGTTGTTTGTGGAAAAGATCAGAAGACAAGGAATGACACACAGAAACTCTTTCTTGGAAGACAGATCCAGTTTCTCTCTGAAAAGAGATCCAGCTATCAAAGCAATAGCAGAAAAATGCATGGTGCTGGGAAGACTGTAAATGTGAACTATGCCAGCCTGGTGACAGTTTCTATAATGTCTTACTGCCTGCTGTAAATGTAGATCAAAACTTTTTGGGGGAATACAAGCAGCCTTTCAGTTATGAATCATAAAATGACAAACTTAAGAGAAAAGGATAAAATCTGCAGTAAACAAGCAAAGAAACTCCGAGGCAGTTTAGAAAGGGAGGTGTGATAGAAATCCTTTGGCTGAAGTGCCTTTTCTGTTTCTTCACAGGGCACCGTGTGTGCATGGGGGAGCTGTTGGCAAGGATGGAGCTCTTTATTGTCTTTTCCACCTTGCTACAAGCATTCACATTCACCCTGCCAGAAGGAGTGAAGGAAGTCAACACCAAGTTTGTTTTTGGGAGCACGATGAAGCCACTTCCCTACCAGCTCTGTGCCATTCCTCGATAGGAAATGGCAGATTCAGGGAAGAGTCACTCTGTAAAACTGCCTCTTTGTGAATTCCTTCTTGCATGTCCTAAGATTTTTGCTTTCCTCTTCATTTGGTTAATCACTACCCTGAAAGATTCTTGACAGACAGTTGTATCCTGAGCATTATAATTATAAAGGGTTGATATTTTGTTCTTTTATTTTTCTGTTTGGAAAATATTGGTAAATTGTGTAACAAATAAAGGCATTAAGGGAAGAATTAGAATTGGGACTTACATATTACCAACAGGAAAGTGGTTTTACAGAGAATGATCTTGAAGTGTAGTTTATGAATTGGAAATCTCATGAATAAAGATTTCTTCTCATAAGCCACAGTTGCATTTGTGGAGATAGGCTTAGAGGTCTTCCAGTCTGTCTCAGGATATTAGTGGGTGCAGGAGGTAAAAGAAGCTCTTGGAGGAAGCTTTCTAGAGGCAGACAGTATGATCTGTGATAACACATTCCCTTAGACTGATATGGTTTGCTGTTGACCAAACCTGTTGTTTACAACTCTGTCATTGTCACTTGGGAAGACAGTTCAGGGTTTCACCCACTAAACCAGATAGCATTTCAACCCTTCTGATGAAAATAGAAGAGTGACTTCATCAGGCAGTTGTGGAGAGCTTTTCATATCACAAGCAAAGAGCAAGGACTGGAAGACAAATGATAACAGTGAGCAGTCACAGAGTGTTGATAATTTATCCTTTTTTATGGGCCCATTGGTTGCCAGCGACATGGGAACTTCATGCCAGGTAGTCTACTTGTGATGATTGCTCCAGATCCTCCAAAAATTTATTCAGCTTAATTTATTCTTTCATTTTTTAAAATGGATTCTTTATCACAGTTAGATGACTTCACTTAGCACAGCATGACCAAGAGCAGATTTGGCACTACTGAAGAATTCTGGAAGCCTTTATGAATCAAGTACCTAAGGACTTGGCAGAAGTGGAGGTTTTATGGTTTGCTTACTGGCAGTTAACAAGGGATATTCTTTTATGGCATTGGGATACATTCTTCTTGTATGAGGTACAAATTGGACACTGCATGCCAAGACAGGAAGGGTTATTTTTATACTCTGATTATCTGATGGTGCCATCTCCAGGAATGACATCATCATCACAGCTGTATTTGTTTCAGGTGCCTCTGCCCACCTTGTGTTTTAAAGCACCCCAGTCTAACAGGCAGGGATGTGCATACAGGATGAAACCTGGGTTGGCAGTTTCTTCCCCCACAGGATTACCTTTATGGGATTGTTCTACCCGTGTCCTGGCATGTAGGTGGTTGATATGAAGTCCCCTCAAGCTGGACCTACAGACATCCCCCTGGCAGTAGCTCCACACTGGTAAGAGAACAACTCATTTGTATCCATCTGGATCCAGGAGGGGGAGGCATCAGTTGCTTGCCTTTGGCAAGTTCAAAATCATTAATCCTAAAGAATAGCTGGTAGATAGTGCTGAAGAAATGCTGGCTGCATTTATTAATTATTAAGAAAATGGAGCCTTGGCTATCTCATAAATACATTTTCCATCAAATAAAGTAAGATAAATCCCATGCCTCAGATCTGAACCGACCCGCAGTCATCTTCCTTTTCCAGTGTATTCCAGACAACTGTATTCTAGGCTGGCTCCAGCTGAATACTGGTTAAAGGTGTGAGACTGCAGCCCTTGTGGGGTGAAGACACTGGGGCTTAAATTCCAGTGGACAAAATGACTTTTTCTGATGAAAAATTATTTAGATGGGAAATTTTCTAATATCTAAAAGAAAAGTGAATGTATTATATTGATTCAAAATTGAAAATTCTGATAAATTGGGGAATTTGAAGGAGAGTTTGTGATATTACACTGGAGCCAGAGAAGGTAAAACTTAACCAATTTCTTTTTAAAGAGAATTTTTCTTTTCCTGTTGAAGGAGAGAGATAAATTAGAAATTATTGTATTGAAAAACCACCTTTTTAGTGTACACAAACAAAGCCTTTATGGAAACCTATAAACATCCCTTGGTTAGTACACATTAATCAGTTATGCATTAGTGGTAATGAAGGCTAATTGATCTGGAGGTTTGTAAACTGTGTGCTGGCAGACTCCAGGTGGTTCTTTCTGGGTAAGGGTCTTCTGTGCTCCAGAGACACAAAATCTGGAAATAGTTTTTGTCCCAAAGTCAGCTTGCAAGAAGTGAGCTGGTGCACAAGTCTTGGCAGTTTTCTCAGAAGATTAGTGAAAACATGTTTCTTTTACAAGTGCTTTGCTCTCAAGGGATGGGCAATTTTGAGAGGGAAGCATTTCAGTCTGGATCCATAAGAGGGGACTGCAATGGTCATGGTCATGTGGTCCCCAGAACCCCTCTTGTGAGGTTTCCATGGTCTGATTTCAGCCAGTGAACTCCCCTGGTGCTGTTTTTATGGTTCCTGCCAGTGCTGAGGCTTGGCAAAGAGCCTTGGCTACAGACTCTGTTTTCAAGTTACCAAGGATCCACACTCATGTCATGACTAGTTCTTGCTGAGGCCCTTCGTTCTGGCAGTAGCTCAAGATCCCTACTAGGTTTTTCCCATGGTTTTTTTTTTTTTTTTTCTTTTAAATCTGTATATTTAACACTAGAGGTACTTTCTCCATGAATATGCATTATTTTTCTCACATACTTTATGATGATTTCTCAAATCATAAAGGGTACCCACCTTATGTCAAGACTGAATGGGGAAATGCAGAAGCAGGCAAAACCCTCTGTGAGTTTTCCTAGTGCTAACATGTTAGGGAAAAAAGTGAGATCATACATTAATCCAGTTATGTCTTCAATTGCATTCAAGAGTGTAACAAATTTTGCTTTTTGTATTAAGCATTAGATAGTTGTATATGTATCTTAAGATAAATGTGGGCTTTTAACGTCTATCAGCCTTGCCATTACTGGATATAACATGTACATGGAATATATACAAACCAATTTAAAAACTCCAAGATTTAATATCCACTTACATTTGCCTGCTTAATTTGTATGTATGGCTATTACTTTTCTAAAAGCATTCCAGGAGTATTTGTAGGAGCACATACCAGTCAAAATTGGCTCAGAAAAACTAGATAGGGAATTTACGTGCATCTCCATTGCCTGGAAAATCTTGGCCCTAGTCTTTTAAGATACTATTCCTACAAATCCTGTGATCCATACTGAATAAGTATAATCTGGATGAGAAGAAGAAGAAGAAGAAAGGTGTGCACCTATTAATATGCTGAAGCACGAGAATGTAATGAGTGGAACAAAAAGGAGTGGTTGATAATAAAGAGGTAGGGTTGGAGGCGGGGAATATTTATTATGTGAATTCAAACTCTTATGAAAAAACTGGTTTAGCAACCAACCTTAACAGCTTCAAAAGACAATTTTGAATAAAGGCAAGCTGGTAAAGGCAGACTCTAAAATGTTGAGCATAAGTGAAGCTCTTGTGGCAGTGGCTGTATTTCTTCTAATTACGCAGTTTTTAAAGTTGCAGCGAGTGCGGAGACGGTTTCCTCCTGGACCAGTCCCTCTCCCAGTCCTTGGGACACTGATACAGCTGAACTTTCAGTTTAATCGTGATCTTCTCATGCAGGTACTTATTTTCAGATACTCCTAATTGTCTAAAAGTCTTTGTGATTTCTCCTTTCTCATGTTGCTTGCTATGTGAAAACATTCTCTCCCAAAACCTCATTGCTGGTACTGTAACTGTTGACTGGCCACTGTGATATCACACTTTATTTGGTTCAGAACTGCTGGTTTGGTGTGCAAAATAAGAAAAAGATATTGCAGTGTAAAGTAGTTTACCAAGCTAAGAAACCTGGTATTGGAGTTTCTGAATGTGTGAAGGTCATTCTGGTGTTTAAACCTACCCCTTTTAAACACTGATTTTCATGTGAAACTTGATATCTTTCTATCACCCCTTGCCACTAAATTATACGGATTCATGTGAAAATTGATAAAATTTAGGATTAAATATCTTTAGGGATTATGTATCAGATTTGGAATTAGGGAAAAAATACTTAAAAAAAATTACTTTCACAGCATGGATTTGTAGCTTTCTGAGCACTGGCACTCTCTAGCTCAAGCAGTAAATATATTCTTCCCTGCACTCTGTGTGTATCAGCTTGTATTGACAGGATCAAAAACTGATGGGAGGAAAGAAGAAAGTCCAGTCTCTAAGCTAATTACTCCTCTGACAGTTCTGTGTTCTTTTGTGCTACTTTACTTGTACAGATGATAGAAATCCTCTTGAAATAAATTAATAAATAGAAAATACCCTTTATGCCATGAATGATTGTGAACTGAGCCTTGGCTTATATACAGTAACAAAAGGTACTTAATGCTTCTTGACATAAGCATGTGGCTCTCAAAAGTGGAAATACACAGGTGTTTCCAACAGTGAATGTGGGAAAAGTCATTCATTCTTTCTCATTGATAATTGTAGTCTGGTGGGAAAGATGGAAAACATCGCTCCACCTTAGGGCTGGTCCTGTAATCAGTGCAAGAACAGGTTCAGCCTCTGTTTGCAGTGTGTGGGATTTCATCTGTGCTTTCCTGGCTTCTTTCCCATCTCTAGCTGGCAAAAATTCATGGCAACATCTTCACTTTATGGTTTGGATGGGCCCCAGTGGTTATACTGAATGGATTTCAAGCAGTGAAGGATGGTATGACCACACACCCCGAAGATGTTTCTGGCAGGCTGGTGTCCCCTTTCTTCAGAGCAATGGCCAAAGGAAAAGGTGAGAATTTCCAGGCATAAATAGTGCATTTCACAGATTGCAGTATCTTTTGTAGCTTGTGACCACCTTCAGAGGTAGCACAGAGGTAGGGTTTGTCTGTGAGGAATGACTGCTGGGTGAACTGCAAGGTACAGAGAGGAAACAGCTTTTTGAGAGTCGCAGGAGGAAAATACTAGCAAGAGGAAAAGGATTCATAATGTCTTCTATGGAATGCTCACTAGGGCAGATTCAGAGGTGATGAGATGAGGCAATGGTAAGTTGTGTTGCAGAGAAATGGAGGAAAAGCAGGACACAACCCAGTTCCTTGTCCTGGACAAGCTGCCTCCCACTATGACATTTTTCCATGAAGAGTGAGTTTGACAGTGGGATCTTCTTCCCATTCCCTTCCTTTTGGGAATATTTTCCTGCTGGCACAGTTGCACCTAGAAATTCAGTGTGCTTCTGTTTCAGCCTTGCTGTAGGTTTCATACCACCAACCACACTAGAAATTTCCAAAGTCTATTACAAAGCCTAAATACTAAACTTTCCTGCCCTACAGACAGGATCTTTTCTCTCTGACTGTGGACTGTCTTCTGACTCTTTCCCATTTTCCCTTCATGAGAATCATCACCCTGATTCAGGTGAGCTTCAGGCATAGCAGAAAGTGTGAGACAAGCACTGCAAAGAGCACCTAGAGAAGCAGCTGAGATATCCTGAGATATTTGATTGTCTTGGATCAAACTTAATCCTGCAAATCATCTTACACCCAGCTGAGTTTGCCCATTTGAGCCTTACCAACATGATTACAGGTCACAGCTGTTCCTTGGTGCCTTTGTGTTCACAGGCAAGGCAACAGTTTAATTATGTTCTCTGGCTTAGTAAATCCTTTGATGTAGTCTTTGTCTATGATTAATATTAGCATGATAAGGAGCTCTTCCTTTAATGATGCAGGAATTATGTTGGCAACTGGTCACACCTGGAAGCAGCAGAGGAGGTTTGCTCTGAGGACTTTACGCAACCTTGGTCTGGGGAAGAGAGGTCTGGAGTACCGAGTGCAAGAAGAAGCTCACTACCTGGTAGACTTCTTTGCAAGTATGAAAGGTATTTCTGCAATAAATATCAATACATTTTTGCCATTATTCTGATGTCTTTAGTGTATGAATTTCTCTGTCCTGTCCTGAAACTGAGGGCAGATTTTGTTCTGGGAATGTGCAGGGTCTGACACTGTCTGCGTGGAATGGAATGGACTGAAAATGCAAAGCCACCAGTCCATCTTGTGTTTTCAAGGAGACTATTCTTGCTCAAAATTATTTATAAAACTACTAAAATTGAGAAGAAAAACTGGAGCTCATTGATTATTTACATTATGGAGCACTCCAAGTGGAAAGGAATCTCTGAAGATGGTCTAACCTAACCCCTACTCATAGAAGGGTCAATCTGAGCAGGTTTCTTATGGCTGAGTTGTAAATATCTGCAGCAATAAGACTTCACCACCTCTCTGTGTAACCAGTTTCACTGTTCAGTGAGAGCTATAGTAAAAACATTTCTTGTGTTTATGTAGAATTTAATGTATTTACATTTTTTCCTGTTGCCCCACTTGATACCACTAAGAAAAGTTTGGTTCTATGTTCTTTATACCCCTCCACCATGTATTTATACATATTTAGATAGCTCCCTATGTCTTCCCTTCTCCAGACTAAATAGTCCATCTCTCTCAGCCTCTCTCATGCCAGATGCTTCAATTCCTTAATTGTCCTTGTGGCCCTTTGCTCAACTTTTTCTAATACACTGATGTCCCTCATACTGGGGAGTCCAGAGCTGGACCCAGAACTTCAGCTGGGTCTTGCCAGTGCTGATCAGAGGGGAAGGATCACCTCCCTTGGCCTGCCACCACTTAATTTCCTAATGCAGCCCAGGATGACGTTGGTCTTTGCCTCAAGGGCACATTTTTGGCTCTTTTATGGTGCTGATGCATAGAGAGACAAAATCAATGCTGATGAATTAAGTCCTGTAATGCCATTTGCACACACTCTGTAAAGCACTGACTAGAATCTTGTCTTCATTACAAGATTCTACCCTGATCAACCCAGTTGGATCATGTGAGTAGGATTTCCCAATACCGATCATTATGCAAGGGCACAATAAATCAGGACATGCTGTGGCTAGTATTGTATAAATTAAAAATAATTAGATTGAGCCCAATCCCATGGTTTAACAGCTAGGAGAGATTGAGATGTAACCATGTGTGCAAGGAAAAAACCCCAGAACAGTAAGTTACTAACCAGAATTGTGCCTTGGGTGTTGGGCAGTTGCATCAATACATACACAAATAGAGTTTTTTATGGCCATATATTCCATAATCACAAAATAGTTTTCTTAGGATTACGTTTCAAATATCTGCTTTAAAATTCATTATTATACTGTTGACACAATTGGTTGAAAAGAGTTTACAACATTTTATCTTACTAGAGGTTGTATGTCTCTAGCAAGGTCAGGCAAAGCACAATAGCTTTGCATGCCTCTGTGCCCTTGCTGAATGAAGCTGCCTCTCTTCGTGCCCTTCTACCCCCAGGTTCCCTTTGTCCACAGTGTTCTCAGTCATTCCCATGCTTGAGACATACTCTGATTTTGCCAGAAAGCAAATTTGCATAGAATTTTTTTTCCTTTACCTCTAAATTTGCTCTGGGCTTACAGGATTGCAACATGGTTATGAGGAATCAGTTTGATACTACAGTTTTGAAAAAATATTGCTGCTTCTCTGTGAAATGCAATGCCTTCTTGAGAGTTCTGTGGAGAACTCAGAGGATTCTCACATTTCACTAAAGCAGGAGACATTAACAGTGACATTTATTATTATGGTTGCAGGGAAACCTGTGAATCCTGCTTTCCCTCTTGTCCATTCTGTCTCAAATGTAATTTGTGCTGTTGTGTTTGGACATCGTTTCTCCAGAGAGGATGAGGCCTTTCATGATCTGATCAAAGCTACAGAACATCTCTTCAAGTTTGGGGGCAGCTTTATTCATCATGTAAGTGAATGATCTGTTATATTTTTCTGAGCAAGACAGAGAGTGAGAAATGCAGATTCGAGAGCTATCAGGCAAAGTTTTAGAATTTGTGAGTGAGGCCCCATGCAGTTTTACTGGGCAGTGAACTCTCTCACAGTGGGATGGTGAAGCTCCACATGCCAGCCTCGGGCATTTGTGTTCATTCTCCTGTGCTGGGTTACTGTGATAGTTTGCCCCTAAATCTTTGTAATCGGGCACAGGTTCATGGACTGCTCCTGGGTCATGTTTGTTACTTGGTTTCTCAACCCCTGCACACCACAGGTTCCTGTGTTGGACACCATGATTCCTAAATATTAAATGTCAGGTCTGAGAGTCTGACTCATGTGCCGAGTTAAGACACTATTTTTTATCCAGTTAACAGGGAGAGGAATGAGTCAAATACCAAAGTGTTTTGCCTGTGGCTACTTATCTCCATTTCTCCTGGAAGACACAGACTTGAAGACTTCCCAGAGAACTTCTACACCTTCACCCTGAGTGAGGAGCAGCTCCAGGCACAGGCAGCAGAAGGCAGGAAATGCTAAGACAGCAAATATAACTGCAAGCTTGGCAATCAAACAATCTGGGAGTCAATGATCCATCTGACACTAGAAGCTTACTTTGCACAAAAGTAACTAAAAATTTCCTGGGAGTTCTGGTTCTGGTTCCCCTGCTGAAGTTGTCCCATACATCTTACGAGTACCTTTTTAACATAGAATACATTAACAATTCCTGTAATACAGATGTCTCCCCATATCCCATGGAACATTCTTCTCACTGAGTTATGCTCAAGTTCCCTCTTGCTTAGTTTAGCTTTGGTCCTGTAAGTTGAGTGTAGTGATGCCAGGTGACACCTGCTTTTAGGACGGAGAACATACCTCCCTTTCTTCTCTGCTTCCCATCCTGGCTTTGATTTGATTTAGTCCAGTGATTAAGATACTGTTGGGGAAATAAGAACAGGAGTTCAAACCGTTCCAGAGGGATGGCCACCATCTCCACACCTCCCAGATGTCATGAGTACAAAATGTTATGCAAAAAAGTGGATATTGCTGCATCCACATCCCCGTTTCTTATGTGGATCTCATACTGACAGGGGAACAGTGTGGATTGGGCCCCTCCATAAATGGAGGAGGAGTTTTGGCAGGAACCCAGGAAGGTGGATGGACGCAGTTCCTGTCTTGAACAGACAGCTAAATTCCGTAGTGGGGGAGAGGGCAGACATTTGAGAGTAGGAATGCCTGTAATCTTGGCAACTTTATGTGATTAGTCAGACCACAGTTGTGTCTAAGGCTTCTGAACACATTTTGCAAATAAAAAACTACCAGAGATGGAGCTAACCAAAAAGGATATGAAGTTTCTAAGTGAATTTACCAAGGACTGGACAAGTACCTTTTTTTTGTGATGAGGCAATCATTAATGGATAATTGGATGTCTGACAATAAGAACTGATTTCCCAAGAAGATACAAGTACAGTCTATCTAAATCAACCACACTCCAGTGAACACCTAATAGTGTGCTTTCTGTAGTGTGATTAAAACAGTACAAGAAGAGCTCAGCAAAATGAAGGCTGAGAAAGGATAAAAATTCTGCTGTTAAATAAACAATGGAATTATATTTTGAGCAGAAAAAGACCTATTAAGAGAACGTTGTATCTTGGAGATACAAGAATAGACAGATTACCCAGGCATAAATGTAGGCTGGAAACCAGAATTAACTTTCTAGCTATCAGAATAGGTCGAAATCAGCTATTTCTTAGGCCAGATTTTCCCAAATGGTAAAACAGAAGGAAAAAATAATCTAGTTGTGCCACCTAATCTTGTCTCTCTTTCTAGAGGAGAGTTCTCAAAATTGCCAGGTAGCTGTTCCTTAGGTTTTCTGGGTTTCAGATATTTGAAATTTCATGGAGGAACCTGGAGAAGTCAATTTGTAGAGAGTACTTTGGGGGTTACCAGCCTGTAAAGCAGCCACCGGGATCCAGTCCTTGCTTTGGCAAGCAACCTGGTGAGGAGTTTCCAGCTTTTGCTTCTCCCTTCCCGGTATTCTCCACTGGAGGGCAGGAGCTCACTTTTAAAATGCCTGAATGCAGTTCACAGCAATTGAAGATATGAATAACTGCGTAGGTGAATACCATTCATTCTAGTTACAGTAATTCTAATTTGGCTTGTGATTGAGCTGAAACCCCGTGGAACGCTGAATCTTACCATCAAAATTGGAAATTACACAGTTTACTTTTCACAGCTTGAAAGACCAAGCACAGTCTTTGTCAGGATATTTTGCTCATGAGACCCTAATCCTAAGCTAACATGAACGTTACCTCTCTTTGTAGCAGGCCTCCCTAGTGCATTTTCTCATGATAGAGACTTTGCAGGACCTCTTGTGTGTCACTCCCACAGCTCTATGAAATCTTCCCCTGGCTGATGAGCCGCCTCCCTGGGCCTCACAAGAAGGCCTTGGCTTGTTATGATGTCCTGAGCAACTTTACACGGAGAGAGATCCGAATGCACACAGAGCGTGGGGCACCAGAGGAGCTGCAGGATTTCATTGACTTCTACCTGGATCACATTGAAAAAGTAAGATTTTTTTCTGCCCAATGATACAGTCATGGGGGAGTAGGTCAACATGGACCATTGAATCCTCACAACCAGTCTGAATCATCACAATCTCTTGCCCTTCTAGGTATGGTAATGTGACTCCAAATGTGATCTTCCTAAATCCTTTCTGATCATTGATATGCTACAGCACCTTGCAATCCTTTCCATTCAGTGTCTCTTTCACCACTCTCATGTGCTGGTAGCAGTAACAGAGGCAGCCACAACCTGTTGGGCTGCAGCACTCACCTACCTCCCCTGATAATTATTTATTGATCAATTCCCACATCAGCTGCTGTATTCTTATGTATAGTGTGGATGTCAGCCTAAATGGCTTCTAGCTCCTTGAATCCTCTTGTTTTAATTTTTTAGTATCAGCACAGTAACACACCTGGCCTTCCAAAGCATTTGACTGTTTCTAAAGCTTTTCATTGCTGTTCTAGGAATTTATGAGACTTGAACATCAGCGTACCAGAAATTGTTTCAGTGAGCTCTTCTGGGACTCTGCTGGGTGGAAATCATCCAAGTTTGTTTATTAAAAAAATTGAACTGTCTGTAATAGGTGAACAGGGGCAATAAAAAAAGATTAGATGGTATTACAGCAGGGAGAAGCATCTCTCCTTCTTTTCAATTGCTCCACTGGCAAGAGAAATGTTCAACACCCTTGAGCAAAACCTCTGTAAATATAGACAATGAATTCCCCCAAACCATAACCATGTTTATTTATAACTTCAGTGTATACATACACATCCTCACACTCCTAATTGAAAACTGTAAAACCCCAGAGCAGCTGTACATGCGTCATTGTGCCCTTGGGTGAAGAAACCTGAATGCCACAGGTTAAGAACTTTATTCAGCCCAGTGTTTACTGTCTGGCCACTGTATTGCTTGGTAGAACAACTGAGTGACGAACTGTGACATGAAGCCAATAATTGTTTGTTTTTTTTTTTAAAGAACAAAAGAACACAATTTCGCTTCGTGATTAAGAGTGGAAAAAACAAGGCTTTTCTGTTTGTGAAAGGTTAATTTTTGTGTTGATAGCCATCTGTGGTGTCTAATGTTCCTTAGCAGTCTTTCTATATCGTCCTATAAGGAGAAGACACTGCAGCTTGGAACCAGTTATGAAATCACATTTAATCCAATTCTGTTTTTTCTAACTTTCATGTATAAGCCTCTAACTTTTCTTGTCATTTGCAGTCTAAAGATGAACCCAGGTCAACATACAATGAAGACAACATGGTTTATTCTATAAACGACCTATTCTTGGGTGGATCAGAGACATCAAGCACCACTTTGAACTGGGGCCTTCTCTATATGGTGGCAAATCCAGACATCCAAGGTGAATAGATAAGCCCATCACAGACATCTCCCATGCAATAGAAAAAATAATTTCCCTAACATTCTCATGGATCAGAGATTATTCCTAGATACTGATATGTGTCTAGTGGCACATGTACCATTTTGTACTTGTAGGTCTGCCCTAGGCAGCATTAGCAGATCCAGGGATTAAATTAACTCTGTGATGTATTTGAGTTTCTTGTAACAGAAATTATTCTAGTCAGGAGAGGAAACAGATGGCTCCTCTGTTACCTCTATGTGTATTTAAGAAATTTGCTTTTAAGTCTAGTTCTAAAATAACTACAAATCCCTTTAATAGAGCATTGAATGAAAACCAAAGGAAGAAACATGTCTTATGTTGGAAAACAGAAATCTCACAGTTAGGTTGCAGAATATGTGCAACTACCCAGAGGAGAACAGGATTTTAAATGGATGAAAGAGATGAAGATAAGAAAAACTTGGTCAATTTGTAGCTGTCAGACAAGAAATTCTGCTTAATCTCATGTTATCACATGTTTTGTTATCGCTTACTCTAATTAAGGTTATGAAAGCACTGACTAATTTTATTTAGCTAAATATTGCACATATTTGGGAAAGCAGAGCATGTGCAGAGTGATTCTTCCTGAGCTTCTTGAGAAATACATTGCATCAGGACTCTCAGAATGAGCTGACACCAGTATGTCTGTCCTCATTTAATTAATTGGTGCCTCCTTTTTGAACCCATTCATACTTTTCCTGTGTTGACATCCAGTGACAGTGTTCCACTCTGTACCATAAGGAGAAATTTGGCCTTTTGCCTCTTTCCTGAATCAGGAATAGAAATGTGTGTTTATATGATGCAGTGACTGATTACTTCAAACTACCTGGATTCTCAAGTTCTTCTGCAAGATAGTTCTTCATAGAGGAAAGTTAACTTAAAAATATTTTTGAATATACATTTTAAATTCTGTAAGGTGCTTAAATCTCTGTTGTCAGTTTAATGAAGGACTGCTGGCAGTCACAGGGCACACTTGATGTGAATGGGCACAGACTGATCAATGCAGAATGGACTTCCCTGCATCTCACTGTTGCTCCAAAAAGCCTGAAAAAAGACAGGATCATTTATTAAAAATCTAAGGTATTTTTATTAGGTGTGTACTGCCTCTCCTGAAGTTTATATATCAAAGGTTTTATTTTTGTTAATGCCCCCAAGACTCCCATGCAATAAGTAATTTAATACATGCTGTTCTTGATTAAAAGGCAGATGCCAAACAATAGATCCATTTTTTAAAAATAGTAATTGGACCTTGTTCTAGTTGGCATTGCTTCACTTAACAGATGCCCTGTGTAAGAACAATGTCCTTTTAACAGGAATTAGGCTTTTAAGGCTCAGACTCACCTGGCATAAATTTCAGAGAGCTGTGAGCCTAATGTTCTAACAGGCTGCAGGTGTTTGAGGCACCTAGGCAAAAGAAAACCCAAAGAGAAATCTGTTATGTCTTGGATTTTTGGCAGTAAGGCAACATTTAGTTTTAAATTTTTGAGCAGCAAATGTCTTTTTTTAATCTATGATCAAATAACTTCAGACCCAGAAGCAGAGTTCTCATATGTTTAAGCTGTTGGAACATCCTGCTGCTTTATTTTTCTTCAGAAGAACTTACTTTTCTAAATTAATTGTGATGTTGTTCTCATAGTTCTATGTTGAAAATGTCTTTGAAAATGAAATCACTGAAAATACTTGATATGTTGTCCTGCCTGAAACGGAATATTTTCCACAGAGAAGGTGCAGAAGGAGCTGGATGCTGTTCTGGGTCCCTCCAAGGTAATCTGCTATGAGGATCGGAGAGAGCTGCCCTACACAAACGCTGTGATTCATGAGATCCAACGCTTCAGCAACATCATTTCAGTGGGCATGCCCAGGGTGTGTGTGAGGGACACAACCTTGCTTGGCTTTCCCCTCAGAAAGGTACAGACACAGCTTCTCAGTGGCTACAGGCTTTTCCTGCATCATTAGAGCATGGTGTGGATTAAAATCTGTTTGTGCCAGGGCATTCTCCTCAACAGAAGGGGGGCTGGATGCCTTTGGGTCACGGTCTGAATGTCAACAAGGAACAGAATGAATGTTTTCCTCCTTTCAGGGCACCATAGTTCTTCCAAATATTGCTTCATCTTTGTATGACCCCGAGCAGTGGGAAACACCTCGACAGTTCAACCCTGGTCACTTCTTAGATAAGGATGGAAACTTTGTGGCCCAAGAAGCCTTTTTACCATTCTCCATAGGTAAGTGGGCTACAGCACAAACATCATCAGTTTGGATTGGGGCTGTGGAATGAAGATGTCTATTAAAAACCTACTGCTTGTCTATTCTAAACCTTTCTTTGGAAAACAAAAGTGCTTAAATCAACATGATTATTTTCAGTAACGTGTTCTACCGAACAAATAATAACATGGAAAATCAGAGGTGTCCTGACAAACACAGATATCTTACTTGCCCTATTTTTGGAAGAACATTCTCTGCTAATGATTGTGGCTATTGATTTCGGGCACTCATTTTGTAACAGACATATGTATGGAAAGCACTTTCAAGCAGTCCTCTTGATTCTTTATGCATTCAAAACTAGAACATGACATCTCCCAGGAAAAGCAGGTCCTTATTCTTCATTTACATGGTGAATGAATTCCTTTAAAGTTGTCAGTCAAATGAAGATGAGGCTTTTGAGGTAATTGAAGGGAGCAGAAGGGTTACATGGATAAAATTCTTTGAAGCTGAAGATAAAATTCTTTGAAGGAAGAAATACATGAAGCTTTGTGTCCTTGCTTGCTCCAAGTCCAACAGAAATTCTGGGCTTGGCAAAAATACCTTTGTACTGTGTGAGGATGAAAACAGTTGCTGTTGGGGTCAGGTTTGTTCACTCACTGTCCTCTCTTGCCTCTGCAGGGCACCGGGTGTGTTTGGGGGAGCACTTGGCCAGGACCGAGCTGTTCATTTTCTTTGCCAGCCTGCTGCGGGCATTCACCTTCCGCCTCCCCGAGGGAGTGACCCGGGTCCGCACGGAGCCCGTCATGGGGGGCACTCTGCAGCCCCACCCCTACAGGCTCTGTGCCATCCCACGCTAGGCTGGACATGTGCACTGTGTCACAGAACCATCTATGAAATATCTTTCTGATTTTTCTGCACATGTCTCTTGAGACCATATAATGCTTTTTGTACTGGATTTGAATTTCTAGTTTAAAAGCCATCTTTTGTATACAGTAGGTAATTTTATTTAGAACCTGTTACCTGCTCATGATCTTTTTTTGTGGTAAAAATTGTTTTGATCTGTAGGACCCCATCATTCTCGGCCATAAAGGCATCTTGCAGTTGCTGTCTGGCTTGGCAAGTATAAATCTGAGAGCAAATGACAAAATTGACTGCCAGACTTCAAAAATTAATTCATTATTTCTGATAACAAATTAATTCATTATACTGTTTCCAAAAGCAAACTGGAAAAACATACCTGGAAAATTCTGCCTCTTGATGTCACTATCGTCAATAGCAACATTTCAGTCAACTTTTTGTTGATGGTCACTAATAAAAGATATGAAGGAAAAATTAACAACTGATTTTATTTACAGATGACTTACAGCTTACTGAGAATTTCTAGATTTGATGCAGCAGAATATGTGTAAGGCATTTTTAAACCTGGCAGAGAATACGTGAGTCCAGCAGTGAAAAGGTGAGACTGAAACCTGGTGAAGAGGGAAGATACAGAGAGACGATTTCTTTTGGGGCACACACTTTCAGCATTTTAAAAGTCTGACAAGTCAGTTTTTGGAAAATCTTTTCCAGAAGGGCAACTATTTACTCCCATGCCTGACTCCTTTTAGCAGCAATGGGCAGCTGCTAAACCAGGTGCAAGGAACTTCCCAAGGGACAGTTTGGGTAAGGAACCTGCTTTGGTTTGAGATGATGGTAAACTGAAAAATGTTCATGGAAAATGCCAAAGATACTTTTTAAACCCCTCAGCAGCTCAGCTTCCTGAAGCCACAAAGGGTTGCCATATACACAAATACTAGTCAAATGCAATTAAAAAAACTATAATTAGTGGAAAAGAAAAAATTAGTTCCTAGTTAAGTATTTATATTGTTTGGGAAAATCTTGTAAAGCATAAGTGAACTTGTCCTTCATTAATGTTCCTGTTTCTGTGAGAGAGGACAGGACAGCTGAACAGATGATCATCTGTTAAATCAGTTATCACTCCATGTCATCCGCTGCGTGATTGAGATTGGTTTGGGCAGTTCACCATGAATCACAGTTTTAGATTTGTCTCATTATTTCTAATTCAATGGCTGATGGAACACAGCATCAAAATAGTAACCACTTGATATTTAGCTGTTATTAAATTAAATGGCAGGATAGCACTAGAGAAATATGGAAGATCACATCCTGACATTTTGCGTGACAGAAAACTGTGCCCTGGTAGAAACTGATGTCAAAGTCGGTGTGGATTTGCATGTGTGCATGGGGAGATAAGGAAAAGCTGAAATCACTGTGATTTGGGGATGTTGGAGCTGTCATTGCTGCTTAGAAATGATGTTGGAAACATCAGTAGCATTACAAGCATTAACATCTCTGCTTTGTGATGCTGTCACCCCTGATGGCCACGTGCTTCCCCAGATATCCTTCCAAAAGGGAAGCTCAAAAAGGAGCCTGGGAAGGAATCATGGCCAGGAGAGCCCTAATGCAGCTGGAGCAGGTTGAGTTGCCTGAACCCAAGGGAATGGCACAACCCAGAACAAGGGGGAGGAACCACTTGTGCAGGGTGTGAGAGGAGACAAGCAGAGCACCCTGCACCTCATATTGGACAGGTTATGGGTGCCTGTCTGTGACAGGAACTGCTCATGGGTGGTTTCTATTCTGTTGTGCAGAAATGTCCAAGGGATGAGAGCCCAGCACGTGAGCCATGGCAGCAGCAGGATGTGAGAGGGAGGCTCACAGCACCAAGATGGGAGAGCTGGGCTTTGCAGAGCCTTTGCATTTCTGTTCCTGACTGATCTTTTTTAGAAGTGAGTCACTTTAGCTCATCTTCAAATAAAGCCTGGTCTTTTTGAGCTTTTGAAAGCCTTTTCAAAGCCTGGCTGATGCTGCCACAGAAGGCCAATGAAGCTGAGAGCAGATTTGAGAAAAGCCCAGATCCCACTTATGAAGTGCCAACCCTCTCAGCTTTGGCTGTGTGATGTCAGCTCCAATCAGGCTGCTGAGCTTTAAGGGGTGTCTTGGAGACACCTCCTCACACACACATCCTTCATTGCTCTCTCTTATATTCTTCACTGCTTCTATGTTGTTTCTCATGTCTTCCTCAGGCTCCATTTTTGTAGTGGTGCTTGCACCTGCTCAAGCATACAGGGGAAGATTTGGCTAAAAAGGAAAATACAGAAAATGCTCAGAGGCAAAGCTGAAGATTTTGGGTTCATGTAGCTCTTGGAGAGGCTTAGAGCCTTGTGAATCTGTGATGCTCATCTGACACCCTTTTCACCTAAAGTTTATACACAAAGCAAAAAAAAGAGGTAAAGAAAAAATTTTGTATTTCTAGTAGTATAATGAAGAAAAAGGAAAATTGTGGTTTCTCAGAACAGCAGTATATCAAGAAGGCTCTCTGGCAGATGGAAAATTGATGGCTTTTTTGGCTTTTATTGTCAATGAAAATGGCGAATGCATTCAACACCACTGGTGTTCAGGGAAGATTTCTGTCAAGGCTAGGAAGGAGAAGTTAGAAAATAGCTAGATAAACATGATATTTTCAAATTGGCTGAGCTGATTCATCCCAGGGCACTTAGAGGAACAGTATCAACCTCAGAGCTATTAGCAATTATCTATGAAAACCTGTGGAGGATGGGAAAAGGTCAAATATTTCCTTGTCTTCAGAAGGTAAGAGAAGTTGCAGTGCTATAAATCAGCCAGCCTGATTTGCACTTCTCAGAATATCCTACAAATAATCAGATTGTAAGCACTGGAAGGAAAGCAGAGTCAGTACTCACCAAATAATGTCAAAGTTACTTAGTTCTGTTTGATGACATTGCTAGAGGTCTGTTTTCAAGAGAGAAGCTGTTAATGTCATTTAATGATCTTTAATGTGGCTTTGACACTATCTCACAAACTTTGTGGAGATGTGGGCTATCTGAAGTTTGATAAAACTTGATGGAAAAGTCAGGAAATGCATATGAATAGCACCATGTCAAACTGGAAGGATGCACTGAATGGGATTCTGTCCTGCATCTAGTACCATTCAATTTTTACTTGAGGACCTTGATAGTCAGTAAAAGCACCAGACCTGGGTAAGGCCTAATTTCTTGATGCCACCAGGTGCAAACTGATGTCTGCAGCAAGGTAAGAAAGAGGTATTCCCAAACTTGTCTAAATTCAAAGAAACATAAATGTAGGACAGTTTTAATTTGATTTATTGCCTTTGTGAAAGTGTGAAGGTGCCATAACATGGATAGTTCTCCTTAGTAGTTTTAATGTCTGAAGAGGTGAGAGTGACTGTACTCCAGCATCTCTCATCATTCCCTCCTTCCTCTCTTCCTGGAGTTACAATTTTCCCTGGGAAATTTCTCTGGGATTTTTTTTCTTGATCATTATGGTTTCCACAGAGCAGTAAGCTGCAGCAGAAGGATACACTTTAGTTTTGCAGTGACTCAAAATGCCTCTAAAAGCTATAGAATTCAAACTCAAGTTTGCTGTCCTAAACCAAAGTATTTTCTTTGGATATTCTTGAATAAAAGATTTAGTGGAAAAAATAGGAAGTTTTCATTAGGAATTTCTGAGACAGGCTATTTTAAACTGTATTAATATATTTAAATAATTAGACTAAAAATGCTAATGAGCTGTGTTTATTTGAAGTAATATTTCAGCTGAGTTTGGGATATCTTTTGCTTAGTGAAAAGTTTATGAGCTCCTCCTAATATCTGCAAAGAAATCACAGCCTGTGCTATTTTTAGCCAAACACTCCAGGAACTATTTATTTGCTGTACTGCAGTGTGAGATTCTAGTGTTAAAGGAATAACAATAACAAAATTGCAGCCCTTTCCCCAAACAGTTTATGAGATACAGCAGATGAGACTAGAGATGAGCTAGTAATATTAATATGTTCTGTGGTCAGCTGATGAGATGATGCTATTCTACAAAGCTGCGTTTTAAGGAGCATTACAGAGAAAATGAAAAAAAAAACAATTGGAGTGTTTTATATTATATTCTTTTTTAAGTAACTTTTTTTAGCACTTTTAAAAAGCGTTCTTATATCAGTGCTGCAGTCACATGAGCATTGGCTCTGCCTTGTAAGTTCAGGTTGGACTGACAACTACAAACTGTGGGTGACTCTGGTTTCTCAGCTTCCTTTAGCCTGCTTGTGGGTAGCTTTGGGAAGGGACAGATGTCACCACCCACCCCTAATACTGAGAGTTTCAGTAGTTTCAGCACTCACAGGCAACAACCAAATCCTAGAGAAATGCTGGCCATTGTGGGACCTGCAGGCTGAGGGACATGGGATTTCAGGCTTGCCACTCTGACATCATTGTGGCATTGGCCTGTCCTGGCAGAAGTGGGCACTGCTCTGTGGGAGCTCCCTGGTTAGGGATCTCTCCTGTCTGGGGATCTTCCCTGGTTAGGGATCTCTCCTGTCTGGGGATCTCTCCTGTCCGGGGATCTCTCCTGTCTGGGGATCTCTCCTGTCTGGGGATCTCTCCTGATTGGGGACCTCTCCTGTTTGGGGATGTCCCCAGTTTGGGGAACTCCCTGCTTTGGGGATGTCCCCGCTTTGGGGATGTCCCCAATTTGGGGATCTCCCCGGTTTGGGGATCGAGTCCTGCCCTGTGAGTTGGGGGCGATGCTGCAGCTCAGGGAAGCTGTCTGTCCTCATGCAGAACACCAGGAGCTGCCAGGGAGCGTGCTGGCTAATTCCGGTGGATCAAGCAGGAATTGCTCAGCACAGAGATCCCGTGTGGGTGTTTCAGCAGCTCCAGGCGCCAGGCAGAGGGCAGCAGAGGCTGTGAGCTGGGAGAGGAGCTGCCCTTCCACACACCCGGGTTCCCAGGGCATGCTGGAGCCCATCGTGCCTTCATCTGCCGACAGCATGGGACTG